GTATCAGAGACATGTCTGGATTGATCAAGTTCAAACTTCACACACACAAGGTACATCATGTCACAAATATGTATGTGCATTTGTTTCATGATTTCATTAACGATAGCCAAATGGCGGCCTCTTTAAGGTCGAAAATGCATTGAAATCGCACATTTTCACCATTCCGAACCCGGATCTCAGTTATGCATGGACGGATTTTGTTCAAATTTGGTACATACATTAAACATAATAGGACCTTGATGCACGTCATTTTTTATTTGGATCAAGTTCGAAATAGCCGACTGGCGGCCATTTTGTTTTAATAAATTCAGTTCTGGATCCGTATCCAAGACATGTCTGGATTGATCAAGTTCAAACTTCACACACACATGGTACATCATGTCACAAATAGATATGTGCATTTGTTTCATGATCCGCTTAACAATAGCTGAATGATGGTCATTTTAAGGCCGAAAATGCATCAAAATCACATATTTTCACAATTCCGAAACCTGATCTCACTCATGCATGGATGGATTTTGTTCAGATTTAGAACAATGTGTTGTACATATGCAGGTGCATTTTGATCATGATCTGCTTTGAATCTATATGTCACTCAAATATGAACGGAACAGGGACGTGTCATTGTTTTTTTTTTATTTCATCTAATTTTAATTGTCATATGCTTATTTTAATGGTATCTGTGATATGTATTATACTGATGCTTAATTAATATTGTAGAATACTTTATTTTCACTTGGAATTAATTTTCGCTGAAGGAATGATTCAGTGAAAATAAAATCCAGCGAATATACCTTTTTTCCTATATTTCACATTAAACCCGTCAAAAATCAGTGAAAATCAATTCCATACAAAACACCCAAAATGTCTGATCAGGAAAAATAAATTCCAGCTAAAATAAAGTATCGTACAGTATGTGGATTTTTAATTGTCACAGATGTTACTGTGTTATGTTAGATGTATTCAATGCATGTTAAATACATTATCATACTTACATGTATTAGAGTTTAGCATCTGGTAGTACGTGATCGTATCAACCTCTGCAGCGTTTGATATTGATATGATCGCTGTACTGCCTTTGTGCATGCATATTCACGTAATCTTGTATTATTTGTTTACACAAAACTTGAACATGTGGCGACTGGGGTGCTTGACTGTCACCATCATATTGTTTTGAAAACTGAAACAGCAACATTGCCATATACGCTGCTATCTGTTGTGCCATTTACGTATCTAGATTGTACATAATTTGATTAAGTTGGTCAACCAACCAATCTACAAAAAAAATTAAACTACATTGTAATAGTGGTTGACATATTGAATATAAATAAAAGATGTAATTCTTTTTTTTTAGTTTATTACATCTAATCACAGTCCCTCTATCACATAATGATTGCCATCTAATCGGTAATAATTCTTTGACAAATGGGAAACTCATCCCAAAATGTTATACAGAATGTATGTACTCGCACAGTCTCGCACATCGGATACAGTTGCTGATGCGCCGTGCTGATGTACGGTTAACCTAGACCATGGCATAACGCTAGTCGATAGAGTGTGTGTTACTATTATACTGCGCACATTAAGTCGAATGGTACACCCACATACTAAAAGTGTTTGATCTAACCTGTTGTAATTGCGAGACAATCTTGGTACGTGCATAGCAAACCAGTCAACTATATAGCTGAAAATGTTGCATTTTGGTGTTCAAAACAGTATGGCCGTTACAGTAATTATTTATCTTAAGCTCATTTTAATTTTCATTTAAAGTATCTTCTGCAGGTGAAGAACAGGCTGAATATTTAGATGGGGGATTGGTTATTATATTATTTTATTACCGTAGATGAATATTAGAATAGTGTATGTGACAACACACAAAAATTCTATACCTACACATGTGCAGAAGCATGACTTAGTTGTCTACGTTTGCCAAAAGTGAAAGATATTTAAATGTCGCCCCAGACACCCCTCCACCCCTTTGCAATAAAACTTGCACAACCTTGGTTTTGTTAGAAATATCATAGCTATTTAATAACACTTGACACCTCCATGTATTGTGGACACATTTGGGTCATATTTTTAGAGTGAGTTTGTGTTTCATACTAAATCAACAAATGACAAAATTGTTGAAATGCTATTTTCTTAGCTTTAATACTAAATAAAAACATAATTAAAAAACATCACTCACTCTTAAAATGTTAGCAGCTTTTATCATTTCCTACCAATATAAGGCCCAGATTTAAAGAAAGTTTTTAATCAGTTTGTTCAATTCGCATTTTTTTTTTTAATTTTATTCATTTTTATCAGTTTTTTTAATTGCCATCAAAATTTGTGCTTTATTTTGAGTTTTCATGAAAACTGAATTTATCAGCTTTTTGAAAATCCTGACAAAAAATTAAAGAAACAGCTGTGGCACATGTTTTCAATAAACATGTATGATGACCAGAAGGATTATTTTTCTTTCTAAGTTTAACTGTACTGTGTACAATTCTGTTACAATAATACTGTAATTACCATGCAGAACAATGTGTTCAATAAGTTTGTTTTGAAAAAATGAGTTTTTTTACTTTGGAAGGTGTTGGTGTCAACATTATTGTTTTCAATTTGGAGATTGAGCCTAATTGGCTACCAATCTCTATCTCCAAACATTATTAACCAATTAGAGAGCAGTTTGTTTCGTAACAGTTTTTATTTTTTGATCTATCAAATTCTGCCTTGTACATGTGCTTCAACACAACTCACAAATCTTATAAAATCACATTCCAAAATAAATATGGTTTCTAATTTTCTACCCAGAGTTTCATATTTATATCAGTCTGTTGCATCAACAATCTGGCTTTTGTATGGATAATAAAAATAAATAAAAGCAATGGCAGTTTTCTTGTGTGTTTGACTTTTTACTGATGCTTTTGTCTAGAGAGCGCTATGTTGGTATTAGCCTGTTCATGGAACCGGCAACATATGTGATAAATTACAACTGACATTGTCCAAGATTTCTTGCTCCTGGATCCTTGATAAGAGCAACTTGTATGTTTGTGTAAAATATTATTTCCTATTTAGATAATGTAGATTTCAGCTGTTTGGTTCCGATCTAAACAATTTTAATTTTTTAATTTGCTACAAAGAAGGACTTCATTTCCTATCAGATTGTTTTTAATTCCAGGAATTTTGTGGATGTGTTTCGTCTTCAATGATGACATTCAGTTTTCAGATATCAAACCGTGATTCTCTGAGAATCGTTCACTGAAATGAAAACAACTGACTAATTCTGTTTCATCAAAGGTTCATCTCTACATTCACATTTAGGAATTCTTTGGTTTAATCAAGTCCAAATTAAACTAGTACAGATAAGAAATGAGTTTACACAACTAAAAAAAACTGGTAAAATAAAGG